TCCAACTTACCGTTCTGGAGTTACATTAGTATAGTCCGCGGCGCGAAGCGCCGTGCACACCTTCAATTTACATACGGAAAAAATTACTCCTAGCGGCCGCGGGAAGCATCTTCGACTACATTTTTTCACTTTACACTTACTTCTAAAACTTTGTTTCTCTGCCTATCCTATTTCCCCACCCCACAAAACTCTATGAACGCCGTTTTCGCAGGACAAAATGTTGGGACTACGGGTATATGAGTGGGGCTACATAAGCTACTTTTGCCGTTTTCTTGATTATAATCCTGCAGCCTTCTTTCAGTGGGTTTGTTCCTGTGGTTTAAATAGTATGTGGTTCGACCACTTCAATTGTATCACCAGTATCAGGCGGCTGCTTTACCCGTACGTGTCAATGCACCCAAAAAATCAAGTTCTAGGGAGTTATTGAAGAGTGGGGAATTTGTTCGGCTGCACGTTCTACATTCATGCTCTGACTCATTACTGGCAACTGCACCAGACGGAGGGAGCGGGCGCACGTACCAGCCGTGTCCTATGAATTCGACATCGGTTGTGCATCCGCCATCTCCAGGCTAATAGGACCCTTGTCTAAACCACCTGGTGCTTTCTACATGGATACTTTTGCAGAACAATCCTGGTGTTTTGCTCCCTGACGCAATTTTTGCGTCAAAAGATACACGACTTCTTACACCTTTTTAGCGAAATTAACTCGCATAGACATTCCTGTCACAATTAGCTCTCGGCGTGTCTTAAGGTGTCTAGTGGTTAAAAAAAACAGCAGGATATTTGCAGAATGGCTTCTGTGATCGCGAAAAATCTTCCGAGGCTACACAGTGCACTATTTAAATGTAAAAAATGCATGCTATGTGAGGTAAGGTGCCGTGCGCGAGTGAGTAGATTTTTGGCCGGTCTGTCAAAATCTGCCCACTGCGACACCAACCGTTCTTTCCTTTACCACCTACTAAATACGTTTACGTAGACTGTCTTCTACATTTCGAAAGGTTAAATAGAGAAAGTCCATCTAAAATATCCTCACTATGCCCATCGCCTGCATGTTGCGCGAAAAAGGGGTTAAGATTTGCATTCGGTTATTTTCACAACACAACGTTACTCTTACGCATACCTAGCAAATTTCGAAGAAAATTGATATTTTACTGGTTTTACCTAGTTTGCTACGCACGCTTCGAGGTAAGAATAATGGCGTTGGGTGAGTGGAGCTTTTGCGTGTTATTGGGTGGAGCTTTTTTGGTATTGCAATGTAGGTACCACGTTCTTAAGTGCCTCAGTGACGCCGGCAGTCACACGAATGAGTTGCTGTACTTCGCCATCGGCACTTGCAGGCGCCTGTCATGCACTCCACCAAGTTTTTTGACGCCAACTGATCTGTACCTTCAGATCTGCACTGCTTTGGGCACTAGTACTGCATCAAAACTCAATGAAAAAGTACGCGAATGCGGCATAATTAAAACTCGTGGCTGGGAATGTGGTGCATGGTCAAAGTCAGAATGCCACATGGTACGCGGCTTTCGAATTTGAGCCACCCATTTTTTC